CCTGGCCTCCCCCACCCCACCCCCCCCCATCCCACCCCTGCTGCAGACACACCTAGGGGCAGTCCATTGCCCTCCCCTGCTCTACCCACCCAAGCAGCCCCACTGCAAGCTGCAGCTTGGCATAGTCTCACAAGCTGGGCAGGGCCGGCCTGGCACATGCTTCAGTGGGAACCCTGCTAGTGGCTGGCTGCTGTGGTAATGCTGGCCTGAGGCCACACTGGGACAGCATGAAGCCCTCTTCTCACAGGGAAGGGCAAAAGGGTCCCAGTCCTCAACTCAGTTCCCTGAGCTGAAGGGGGTGGCCTGGTTGGCTCAGGGTGGGACACTCTCCCTCCTAAGGCAGTGCTGTTGCCAGGGCCCCAGAAGCAATGCTGGTCTCCATGGTGTGTGGGTGAGAGACCCCCCATCCAGGACACGTCACAGGCATTCGCCCACGCTGGGCTGCTGGCTCCCGTGAGCATGTCATGAGTCACAGGGTTTTGCCACTGGCAGGAGCCATCACCAGGACACCAGATGCTCCTCTGTGTTCATGGCCTGTGCAAGAGCCATCTTGTAGCTGGGCTGAGGCACTGGCCCTAGCCAATTAGTGTTTGGGGTGGGAAAGGCAGGACCTCCCTTCCCCCTCCCTCCCAGACACTGCAGCCCTGGGTCCCTCCCTGAGGCAGCCAAGGGGGCCAGGCCGGGGCTCACGCTCACCAGGGACATGCCACTGCCCCTGTTGATGGGCTCTGCCTCTGTGGAGGGGCCCGAGGGCACAGAAGGGAGTTTTGGGCAGCAGGAAGCTGGTGATGGGAGCAGGTCCAGATCTGGATCCAACAGGTCCAACTGCCGTAGGCCCTCCCCATGGCCCATGACCCCAGCAGCAGTCCTCTGCCGGTGCCCCTGCCCCTGGACCCCTCTGCTGGGGCAGGGGAAGGTGACTCCCTACAGGTGGGTCTCAGGCAGGAAAGTCAGGATGGTAACAGGGGAACAGCCATACATCCTGTCAGACAAGCAAGCAGGCATTGGGGTCTTTCCCTCGGAGCAGCCAGGGACAGGGGCCTTCCTGCATATGCATTAAAGGTTGAATTCCCACCTGCCAATCTCATACCTGCTGGCAGAGGAATGGAGGGGAAGCCTCCAAAGACACGTGAAAACTAGAATTCAAGGTGCATTTGTTTTAAAACTCAAGATTTGTTGCGAGTCCCGCTCCCTGTTTCTGCCCTCTCGAGCCTGGCAAGGTCAGAGCCAGGGCAGGGGAAGGAGCGCCAGGTAGCCAAGGCGGCCAGGGCAAACCACGACTTCAAACTGAGCCAAAGGAAGCGGGACCTTGCCAGGCTCCAGCCTGGGGGCAGGGAGGGGAGCAGTGACATGCACCCTGGATTGCAGGAGCTGACAAGGTGATCAGAGCTCCAGCACCTGGCACAAGGCGTCTGCAGCCAGACGGAGAAGGGATGGGGCTGGCGCCGACAAAGCTGCTGAAGTTTACAAGGCAGCGAGGGGCTTGGCCGGTGGCCAGACGGTGCCTGCAGCCGGACCAGGTGCTAATGCGCTTCATCGGCTTAAGGCAAAATACGCCCGTCCCAGCCACATGCTACCCCCAGCAGCCTGCAGGGGATGGGGTGGGGGCACCTGTCTGCCTGGATCAGCCCTTTACACCCTCCTGCTTGGGCTGGCAAGGGGCTGGCTGCCAAGTCTCCACTCCCGGCCCCCCCTCCCGCTGGCTCCCTCGCTGGGCCTCTTGCTCCTGCCTTGGCTGGAGCCAGCCCAAGGCAACACATGTAGGGCTGGAATCGCAGCCAATGGCCCCGAACGCTTGGGTACACATGGCAGGCAGGGAACAACCCTGGACCGGGTCCAAAGTCCCTGGTGGGGCAGGAGATGGTGCAAAGCGGCCTCCTGCCCTCTGCTCGTGGCAACACCTCAGTGCTGGGGGAGGGAGAGGCCAGGTGGGTGGGGGGAACTGGGATCAGTGCTCCCCAGTCCAGCCACCCCCAAGGCTTTAAATACAGGTAATAAATTGACTACAATAAACCTCCTACTGCTATTTTAACCCCTTTTACTCCTCTAAGAGCTACAGCCCAGCTCGCAGAGCCCTGGCGTAACCCAGCTGAGCCCTGGAGCGGTCTGGATGACCCCAGCAAAGCCTGGATGCCATACCATGATCTCTCTCAGTCTGCCCCTACACCCAGGTCTGGGGCCGATTCCGTATTGCCTGGGCTGCCCCCTCTCCCCTTAGTTGGACTTGGCAAATCCAGCTGGGCTTTGGGGCCCCCCCCAGCCGCAAAGACCCCTACCTTCCCTGACACGACAGCTGCAGGCAGCTGCTCTCACCGTGCAAAAGGGGACACCCTTGAGGATCCCACAGCTAGAGTCAGATGCCAAGGGAAGAACAGCAGCTCATTTCCCCACCCTTGGACACTTCCATTGTGCCCACTGGCTGGAGACAGCCAAAGGCATGCCCCAAACTGCACTAATTATCCACCTTTGACCTCCACCCCCTAATCCACCAGTCCCAACGTTTACTCCATCCCTACAGCAACCCTCCAAGAAATTACTCTGCCAATGCCTACTCCCATGGATCCCACCCGACGACCGTGATGGGCCAATTCCAGCCTGCAGCCATGACCAGCACAGGCACTTACAAGCTGAGCTAAGGGCCCCTTTGTGCCAGCCACTATACATACAGTGAGAAATGCCCAATTCATGCATCAACAAGCTGATGATATAAATGGCACGCAGGCTGAGGGTGGGAGCAGGAGTGAGGCAAGAAGTGACTTGCCCAAAGTCAGAGCAGCTTAGTGGCAGAGCTGGGAAGAGACGCCAGGTGCCCGGGGCCCAGGCTGGTATCCGAGGCACTCCTAAAATCCAGCTCTGTCTACGTCAGCTGCAGAACAGGAACCCAAAGGTGCTGGGTTCATGCAGTCTGGCCAGATGAAAGCTGAGCAGAGCTATGCTGGCTCCTATTAATACCTCAGGGAAACACCAGGAAGAGGATAAGGCTGCTGAAACTTAGAGGGCAATGTTGGCACAAGCGTAAATGGGTCCAAGCTGGCCTTGGACATGGCAAGCTGGGAAGGAGGAGGAGGTTTCTAGCCACTGGAGAACAAGGCAGCCAAACAACCTCCCAAGGTGGGCATTTGGGTGAAGCAGGTGGGTGGAGAGGGAGCTCTGTGACATGAAGCCTGCCATGGTGGGGCCCTGGCCTTACCATCCTGCAGCTATGCCCATCACTGACGTTCCCATGCAGAAGGCAGCACCCAAGAGTAACTTGTTCAGAGGCACAGGCTCTCGCAGGTGACAGCCCACTGCATCAGGTCTGGCACTGGCATCTGAGGAAGTAGGTTGTTGCCTACGAAAACTCATGCCTCTCTGACCCAGTCAGTCACTAAGGTGCCCCCTGCCCTGCCTTCTGCCTGACTTCAGACTAACACAGCTAAATCCCCCTATGATGTTTCCATGTGCACACCAGGGCCGAGGCCTACACATCACTGCTTTGTTGGCAGAGCTCTGTGGGGGGAGTAATTCTTCTTCTTGCTCCACTAACCAATGTTGCTCTGCTCATGGGGAACTGGCTGGGCTCAGCCTCTGTGGGCACCCACCACATCTCTGCCGGGGAGTTGGCCAGTGTAACTTTAATAGTGCATCTCCTGACTCATCCCTGCCAACCCAGAGGAAGCTTTTGGCTCTGGATTTTCAGGGGTCAAAGGTTTTCCCACAGCTCAAGACCCATCAAGCTTGCCCATGGCACATCAGGGACTGATGTGGCTGGCATTGCACCCAGCTGCCTGGGACACCCCAGCCTGAATGACCAGACACCCGCTTACATTTTTGTCAATCAGGGATAGCTTTTGAAGAGTCTGGAGCAGGACTCGAACTCACCCATCTGGGACTGGAATGAGGCACCTGACCCGTCCAGCATGGCACCCATGATGGTGGGATGAAGAGTAGGTTTCACACATTCATAGATGTTAGGGGCTGGAAGGGGCCTCACAAGGCTATCAAGTCCAGCCTCCTGCACTTGGACAGGAAAGGCTGCCGGGGTCAGATGACCCCAGCAAGGTACACATCAAGTCCTTTTTTTAAAGATCTCCAGGGTAGGTGGTTGACTCTGGTGGGAGTCTGTTCCACACCCTAGGCACTCGAATTGTAAAGAAATTTCTCCGTATGTCCAACCCAAAGCCATCTTCAAGCCATTTGTGTCCATTGTTTCTTGCCTTCCCCTAGGGTGCTTTGGTGAACAGACGCTCCTCCAGGCACTGATGTAGGCCCCTTATATATTTATAGGCTGCCACCAAGTCCACCCCCCCAAGTCTTCTTTTCTCCAAGCTGAACAGTCCCATGTCTTTCAGTCTCTCCTCATATGACCTGCTCTCCAGACCTTTAATCATGCACTTGGCCCTCCTTTGGACTCTCTCAAGCTTCTCCACCCCCTTCCTGAAATGCAGACCTGGATGCAGTACTCCAGCTGGAGCCTCACTAAGGCCGAGTAGAGCGGGAGGATGACATCCTTAGTCTTGCTTGAGATGCATCGGTAGATGCATGCCTGTGTTTTATTCGCTCTGCCAGTTTTGTCAATACCCATTTAGTTGTCCCACATTGCTCACTCTTAACATGGCTTTCCAGACTAGGAAAATCTACCTCATGACAGAGGAAGTCATCATCAAAGGCAGCCACCTCTCTGCTGGAATTCAGCACCTGTTTGACTTTACAGGGTAAGGCTACAGAACAGTTTCGGACTGTAAGTGTTGAATGCGGAAGGAAGAGGATCAGTGTTGAATCAGGAAGGAGGATTCTGTTTGGAAGAATGCAATTTTCCAAGCAAGGAAGCAGCCAGGACACCCCTTGCTTGGTGACAACCAGCTGCTGTCACCCTCTTCCAGTGGCAGTGGGTCTTTCTGCAATACAGTGGAGCCAGGGCTGCTCAGAGGGCAAAGAATGCCCCACTGACTGGGGAAGTCTCCCATCCACGGAGCAAACTAGCTGGAATTTGCCCAGCCCTGAGCCACTCACACCATGAGACAAATGCAACAAAGATGGGGCACAAAGGCAGTTCCAAGGAAGCTCCAGCTGTGCAGGCAGCTTATGAAACAGCTGCTGATTCTTTTCGCTTCAACCCCCCGCCCCCCTACCCCACAGGCATGAAGGGCTCCATCAGGCAGGCCCTAAACCCTAGCAGGTGGAAGAGCAACATATAGAGCTAGGCACATATAGCATAAGGAGACTTCTGTGCCACTCCCTGGCTCGCTCTGCCCCAGCTGTCACAGATTCCAGGGGATGGGGATGGGGATGGGGATGGGCCAACGAGTGTTTCCACAGGGCAGCTGAGGCCTTAAGTACAATCCGGCAAGATTAGCAGTCCAGGCTACAGCCCAATGGGGCACTGAGCTCCTGGGGGCATCTGGATGCTACTGTAATAAACACAATGCAAGGCTAATTCCCAAGATGATGACACCCAGACACCAGGTGGTGGCCCTGGTGCAGTTACCTACACCAGGAAGGGCGGAAGCTACAGAGAAGTTATGTACTCTAAAAGCTGCAATTGCAGAAAAAGCAGAAGGGAAAAAGCTGGGGAGGGAAGTAAATCTTTTCATATTCATGTTCCTAAATCCTGTCCAGCTTCATTTTTTTTGTTTTTTTACCTGCTTAAAAACAAAATGTTTCTTATAATTCAGGCAGCAGTTGCAAAAGCAGCCGCTGGATCTGTTGGCTACCCTGGGGGGCACACAAGGATAAGCCACTGCTGCAGCCCTCCAAAGGAAGGGTGGCTTCTTCCTCAATGGATGCCTCCAAATCCAGACTCGATGCCTTTCTGGCAGATCTGATCAAGCCCAGCACGAGAGACTGGGCTCAGCACAAGAGTAACTGGGTGAAAGTCTTGGGTCTGCATTACACAGGGAGTTGGAGTGGATGAGCTCACAGTGCCTTTGGCTCTAACCTCTATGCATGAGTGACTCTGCAGGCCACCGAGTCCAGGCAAGCCTCCCCACACCAAGCCTTGTCTGTATGTATTGACTGACTTGGAAGCAGCCAGCACAGGGCTCATGGCCCGCTCGGTCTGTGGCTGCTTTGCCACACAGGTGGCAAAAGGAAACAATGCTGGCTCTGGTATTTCAGCAGCTCCTCTATGGCCCACCCAGGCCCCAAAAAGCCAAGCAGGATCAAAGAAAACATGGTGTCAGCCCTTGGTAAGACCTGGGGAGGAGGCAGGGAAGGAATTCATTCAGGTTGTGGCCCCAGGGTTTGCCCTCGGTGACAATAATGACCCTCTAGCCTGGGTCAGCAGCTTCCTTTATCACCTCTCAAAGTATTTCACCCCCACAGTGGCACAACTAAGCCCCAAAGGAGGCCTGCTCAGCTAGCAGACAGAGGCACAGACCAGACTCAGAAAGGAACCCAGGAGTCAGGGCCCTTTTCTATCTTTTTCTTTAATCCCATGCCCCATTCATGTCATGAACAAAGCAGATCCTGGCAGCCCAGCCCCTAGCATGCATTGCATCCAAAACAAAGCAGTGTCCCGTTGGAGCACGCTGGATTTAGCACAGGATTGCTTCAGGTCAGGAGGTGGTGCGCGGTCAGACCTCCTTACAGGCATGATGGCCGCAGCCTACATGCACAAGGAGAATTTCCTAGTTGGGATCAGAACCGTGGCCAAGGGAGGCTGGAATCATCTGGGTTCTGCCATGCGCTGCCCAGAGAGGACCCAGAGCTCACGGACGTGCCCGCCACACGAATGCCACTCACCTGGCGCCTGGCACACAGCGGATGTACATGCAGCCGACGCGGTTCCCTCGGCTGCTCTTGGTTAGAAACACCTCAATGGTGTCCAGCTCCCGCTGGGCATACTGGAAATCTGCCCGGTCGGTCAAGTGCAGCTTCCAGCGCCCCGGCGTGCTGCCCCTCAGCGAGCTGGTGCTGGTGCTGCCTGCAGGCTCTGGCTCGGGCACAATGGCGTAGGTGGGCTCCGGGGGCAGGAAGGCCAGCTTGGCCGCTATCCGGCTGGGGCAGGGCGGGCAACAGAAGAGGCAGCACAGCTCGCTCACCGACAGCCCGTTCATGGTGACGGCAGCTGCGGCACGAAGTCTTTCGCGACTTAAAAACCCAATCCACACAGTGGTTCACGTCTACCACAGAAGAGTCAGGAGGTACGGGTGGGCCCAGTCCCGCTCTGCTCGCCACGCCGGCCGTCAAAACCCGCCTGCCGGGGCTCTCGTATGGACCGTGGCGCTGGGCAAGGCTGGCAAAGCAGCCATCTGTCCGTCCATTCCCATCCACAGGGCCCTGGGATGAAAGGACAGGTTAGGATGCCTCAAACCCATGTGCGATGCACCAAAACAGGATGGTCCCCTCCCCTCCGAGAGCCACCCAGCAAACAGCCCCCACCCCAGAAACCCACGCTGCTCAGGACACCCCGCTCCCTGCAAACCCCACACAGTATACAACACCTTGCACACTGTTCAGTGCATCCCCACACAACACACCCCACTCACCGTCCAGTATATCCCCACGCGGTACACCCCCTCGCTGCAAATCCTGAGCAGTACACCCACACAGAAATACAGCCTTGCACAACACCCTCCTCTAACTGTTCAGCACATATCCAGACAGTACACCCTGCTCAGTGCAAATCACACTAAATACACACCCACACAGCATACACCGCTAACTGTTCAGTACAAACCCACACACAGCACACTCTGCTCACCACAAATCACACACCGTGCACACCCACGCAGCACACCCTGCTCGCTGGACAACATGCACAGTCCAGCCCCTCGCCAGACTCACCTACAGTCCTCCGGGGTGGGGCGAACACCCTTTACACACCCCTCCCAATTAAAACACACAACAGGTTCCCCATGCACACACCCTCACCTGACGCATCCATCGCCCCACACGGCAAGCCCGCCGTGCACCCCAACGCGCCCTACGCGGCACACGTCAAAAACCCCACAGAGCGCCCCTGCACGCCCCGACTGCTCCCACGCCCGATCCTGACCGGCTGCCACCGCCGCCTGGGAGGCTGTTTACTGCGCGCCCTGCACGATGCCCCAGGCCCGGGGGGCCGGTGCTGCAGGGAAAGGGAGAGGGGAAGCAGGTGGGGGAAGAGGGAGAGAAGCGCGGGAGCGTTTTCTGCAAGCGGAGGCAGAGCAGTCCTGGCTGCAGGCGGCTCCGAGGAGCCCTCCGCGGGCGGGCGCAGGGAAGAGGCCGCCGGGGCGATGCAGGAGGATCCTCCTGTGCACAGCAAGCCTCTCCCAGGGCAGCTGGGTCGGGGGCATCCGCAAGCCCAGGCCGGCCGGGTCTG